TTTTGCTCGTCCCCTCCTCACACCCCAACCTTTCTCTAAAGGACCAGATGGCTAAACGCTTCCCTCCCTTTCTGATTTTCATCACAGTAATTTTGATTTATTCATGTTTAAGGAACACAGCGACGTTCGGGGCACATGTAGCTTTCTTCTGTGGTCCAGTGGCGCTGGTCCGCCCCTCCCTATTTTCCCTTCTGAACAGGAAAGAAAATGTCCCTGGCTCCCTTCATGTATGATATTTTTAATAGTCAAGGCTTAAGAATCTACGTGTAGCTTTTTGGAGCTTTGCGAGCACGCTGGCTTTAAAACTTGAATAGAAACTTGTCTTTTATAGCGCTCCTCCATGAACGTTGTTTACCGCGGAAGGCGGGTTTGTCACTCGGACTGTGGGGGAAGGGATGATGGGGTTTCCTTGCAAACATTTCACCAGCCGAGGGGATCCCTCCACGCGTCCGGCCCAGCGTGTCCTTCTGCGTCTCTGAGCTCCTGGTGCTTCTCAGAAGTCAAGGGAGCTCACTTCTCGGAGTGTCACGCCACGTCCGGTCCTGGACTCCTTTCTCTGCCAGACTGCAGCCTTGGGCAGGCGTCGCTGGGGTGGGTGACCGGAAGGTGGCTCTGCGGTGTAGGCAAATGCTCCGTGCCAGGGGTCCTGATGCTCTTGTCTCTGTTTACTGCTCCCATAGGCGGCACTGCTGAGAAGCCCAGGGTCTATTTCCAGCTTCGCGGACGGAATAGATGTGTCAGTGCTGGCCTTTTTAATCCTGTGGGGTTCAAACTTCCTGGTCATGCCTGGATCCAGATCTGTTCAGAGCACGGCCAGCCTCACAACCTGCAGGCGTGTGCCCATTTGTCTGGGGCTCTCCCCACTTTTGCCTTTGTTTTCTGGATAATTTCTGACATGGGGTTGCCGGACACCGGGGTATAGCCTCCGTATCTGTTTTCCTCTGCTTTTTCTCCCGTCTCCTTTCCTGGGGGCTCTTTGCTCTGAAACTTGAGTTTGCACCTGGGCTGTATCTCTGCCTCTCTCTGAATACCCCGTCTCCTGGAGCTGGTCAGCCACGTTGATCTCGGAGCCCCATCTTCTCTGCCCTTCCATTTTCCATAAGAGGCTGATACTTTTCCGATGGCGTCCAGTGACGCTATTTAGAATTATGATGATGACCTTCCTTTTCCCCGAAATACTTCTGTCCTCTCAGAGTCAGGCAGAGAGCACGCATACCTCCAGCCTCTCCTCTTCCAGGCGCCGGCTCTGCAGGTATCTGACAGCCCTGAGTGAACGCAGGCACAGGCACTGGTGTGGAGGGACAGCGCGGGTCGCCATGGACCTGCGTGCCCCTGTGGGCTCCGCCTGTCTCTCTGGGAGTGGGTAGGACGTGTGGACAAGTCAGTGCCCCTGGAAGCGGGCACAGAGCTCACAAGCTGGGAGCCCCTGGGGGTGGAACAGCATGGAGCACTTCAGCCCGGGTGTGGGGATTCACACCCCCATTTTCCATGGAGGGCAGAGGGCCTCAGGCCCCTGAGGTCTGGTTCACTCTCAGGTGTTATCTCACTAGGACAGCGGAGCGTGGGAATAGTTCTCCATCTGCCGAAGCCCAGACCAGCTCAGAATAAACTAAAGATGTATAATATTACTAAGAAAGGCAAATATATTAAAACGCAGTTATCAAATGTACCAATGCTATAAGAATATGTTTGCTTCTTTATGAAAACATTACATAGGAAAGCCCGTCATTACATAAAAAAGCCTGGACGTCTGGAAGTGGCTGAACATGAGCAGTGCACTGAGGTAACCATGAGCGGTATGATGAGGCTAGGAGATCACCCAGGATTTCTTTTGGCGACAGAGTCACCGTTCCAGCTGGACCACTGTCCTCACTGCCTCGCTGAAAGCCAGAGTGGCTTCCAGTTAGACCCTTGGTGAGCGCCTTGCACATTTCTCCCATGCCTCAGGCAGTTTCTGGCTCTGGCCTGAGCTAAACTACTGCAAGAGGCTGGGGTGGGTGCAGCTGCCCAGGACCTCCGGGAACACAGCTTCCGGCAGATGGGCGCAGCCGCGCCTCTGTGCGTGCCCGGGGATGTGTCCTCCCACTCCCGCTCCTCCCGGTGGCCCTTTCTCTACACAGCACCTCCGTGCCCCGGCTGCTCTCGTTCTTAGCATCATCCCGGCCTAGTGTCACCCCCGGGACCTGTGCTGGTTTCATCTCCTTGTGGCGCCACGCTGCCCCCTTCAGCTGACTTCTCAGCAGTGCCCAGGCTTTCTTGGTCTGCTCTTTGTGGTGCCAGGCACAGGTTTCTCCACTTTGCCCTGGGCTTTGTTCTCAGGGCACCAGCAATGCCCCATGCATTTCCTAACAGCACGTCTTGCCTGTAGGACTTTTGGTCCCCACAACACTAGGCCACACACTCCTCCTGGTGAAATTAAATCAACAAGGCTGCTTCTCCTTATGAACCTCCTTTCTCTTTCTCACCTGTTTTTACAGAAGGTTCCTCCAAATGGTTAGTTTTTTAGGAGTTCCTCTAGTGTACTTCAGATACTGTTCAATTCTCCAGATTTTAGTCCATGTGACGGGGACAGAGGAGATGTCAGAGGCAGCTTCTCCCTGGACTGAGGTTCTCTGGGGTCAAGGTTGTGTCTGTAGGATGAGCACCCATGGGCTGCAGAGTCTGCTCCAGGCGAGGCAGGTCAGCGACCTTGGCGGAGGTCAGACTTTGCAAACCAGGGAGGGCAGGATCCTGAGGGCTGGGGGTAGACAGCTCTACTGCAGAGTGTCTAGGGGGGAAGGGGCAGGGAGCCGTTACAGGAAGTGGGGTTGAAGGGGAGCATGCACAGGGAGGGGCCTGCAGGGCCTCTTAGGGCAGGCCAGTCTCCTAGCTGCTTGGCTGGTGGCAGCTGGGGCTTCCTTCGGGATAGGGTGCTGGACCTGGGCTTGTGTCTCCTAGCTGGCTGGGTGGATCTGGGCCAAGGCATCCAGAAGTAATAAATCGCTTTTCAGCCGGCATCTGTCTGATCAGGTACAGGTACAGCCGAGTCAGGTCAGGCAAACAGCACTGAGCTGGGTGGCAGTCCTGCCTTTGCCCTTGACTTGCTAGTTGACTTGATGCCAGGTGTCATGCCTCTGCAGGCCTCAGTTTACCCCCATGTATCATGAAAGGCTCCATCCTCTGACCTCTAAGAGCCCTTCAGGGCTGGCTTCTTAACCTGCCTGGCACACGCACACCCGCAGGCTAGGACCCAGCCTCTCAGCGCAGCAGGTGTCCTGCAGGCCCCTCAACTCCAGGACTTCCCAACAGCCAGGTCCCAGGTTCAGGCAGGGGCCGGGCCCTGATTCCTGCCCAGAGCTGGCGTCTGAAATTCAGTGCGGGCACACATGCCTTGCCGTGGAGCTGACCCAGGAGCCTGCTCTGAGGTGTGGCAGTGGGAAGGGTGGGGACCTCCACCAGAAGAACTTGCCCTGCCTGGAGGAGGCACAGAGGCAGCAGGTGCGGCATCCAAGTGCTCCCTGATCGCTCCCTCCCAGCAGACGTGGGCATCTACAAACCATTCTCGGGTTTGGGGTGGCAAGCAGCAGAGCCTGGAGAGTGTGTGTGTGTGTGTGTGTGTGTGTGTGTGTGTGTGTGTGTGTGCCCGCGCGCCCGCGCGCTTCCAAGCAGATGTGCGCTTTTCAGACCACGAAGAAGCTTGCTTTGAGCCTGTCCGGCCGTCAGTCAGCCCCGGGCCGTGGCTTCTCCTGGAATGTGGGGTATTCGGGGCTTGGACGCGACTTCAGGCCGCGTGTTCGCCGCTCCAGGCGCCGGCAGCAGCCAGCACTGCAGTGAGGCTCCTGCGCACCTAGGTGGAGCCCGACCCGCAGTTTTCGGCTGGACCAGCCCCACCTGACCCGCCGGCGCGCCAGGCGGGGGCGCTGCGCGGCGGCCGGGGTCCCCGGGGTCCCC